CCGCTGTATCTGACCGATCGACGTCCCTTTAAACCCTCTAAAAAGGTTGTCGCTCGTGGAAAAGCACGGGCAGCCTCACCGAGAATACCCCTTGAAGATGACTACTCGTCCGACTCAGAAGCTGAAAATCTAAGTCCTGATGATGGAACACAGGAAGCAAAAGTACTGGAATTTTTCAATTCATGTTCTCCTGATGATTTATCCGATATCGCAGAAATTACGTTTGACATTGCAAGCGAATTCATCTTACAAAGACCATTCTCATCTTTAGCTTCGGCTCGACGTGTTTCCATTGAGCAATCCGACACTTCGGAGAAAACACCTGGAAACAAAAGGAAAACCTCCAAGAAACCTCTGGGCGACAAAATAGTTGACAAATGTCTGGATATGTGGACAGGATATGAGGCAGTTGATGCGCTAGTTGCTGAATGCGAGTCTCTTGGGAAACCAATAGCAACAGAGATAAAACGCTGGGGAGTCGACATTTTCGGGTCGAAAAGGGACGGTGGCGAATTGGAGCTAGTTTCTCTTGACAAGGCTCCGCCAGATGGGATCCAGGATTCTGGGATCGGAAGCCCGTCCAGCCGTTGTTGTGCAAGTGACGATGCAGATGACGTTAGAGATAAGTCCCGGGGCAGGAAATTTATATCCCAGCCTGCCATTATGAGTGATACTATCACGATGAAGGATTACCAAGTTGTTGGGATCAACTGGCTCAAATTAATCTACGACCAAGGGCTGAGCTGTATCCTTGCTGATGACATGGGACTGGGAAAGACTTGTCAGGTCATTGCTTTTCTCTCTCATCTCCTTGAAGTTGGTGTCACTGGGCCTCACCTGGTCGTTGTCCCAGCTTCGACCCTTGAGAATTGGCTTCGCGAGTTTTCGCTCTTCTGCCCGAAGCTCAAAACAATGCCATACTATGCAGGGCAAGCCGCTCGAGGAGAAATTCGAACTGAGATAGAAGACAACAGAGATAATATCAATGTTGTTATTACTACTTATACCATTGCAAAAGCGAAGGTCGATGCCGCATTTCTTCGGTCCATGAACTTCAACGTTTGCGTTTATGATGAAGGCCATATGCTAAAAAGCAGCAAATCTCAACTATACGAGAAACTTATTCGTATACCAGCGCAATTCCGCCTCCTTCTGACAGGTACGCCTCTGCAAAACAATCTCCAGGAGCTCGCATCGCTCCTTGGATTCATTTTACCTTCGGTTTTCAGAGAGCGGAAGGATGATCTTGAGTACATATTCAGGGCCAAGGCCAGAACGGTGGATGATACACATTCGGCCTTGCTGTCCGCGCAACGAATTGCTCGAGCAAAATCCATGCTCATGCCATTTGTATTGCGGCGGAAGAAACATCAGGTGATTGACCTGCCCGCTAAAATTTCCCGCGTTGAGTACTGCGAAATGAATGAATCTCAAAAAGAGATTTATCATAGCGAGATTGAGTCAGTGAAGCAACATATAGCCGACCGGGCGGCGGGGAAGAAATTGACGAGAAACAAGTCGTCAAATATTCTGATGAAATTGCGACAAGCTGCAATTCACCCACTCTTCTCCCGTCGAGTCTATGATGACAAGACGCTAAGTCGAATGTCGAAAGCATGTTTGAAGGACGAGAAGTGGACACATTCCGACCCTGATCAAATTTACATTGAATTACGCGAGTATAATGACTTTGAATGCCATACTCTCTGTACAGGCAGCCCCGCCGCGCTTGGCAGGTTTGCGCTCAAGAATAAGGAATGGATGAATTCTGGAAAAGTCGAGAAGCTTTGCGAGCTTTTGGATAAATATATTGCGGAGGGGGACCGAATTTTGGTTTTCTCCCAGTTCACGATGGTCATGGACATTCTTGAACAGGTCCTTGAGACACAGAAGATCAAATTCTTCCGCCTCGATGGGAAAACTAGCGTTGAAGACCGCCAGTCTATTCTTGATGCCTTTCATGAACAAGTGGACATCTCGGTGTTTATGCTATCCACGAAGGCCGGCGGTGCAGGGATCAACTTGGCCTGCGCTAACAAAGTGATAATATTTGACTCTAGCTTTAATCCCCAGGAAGACATCCAGGCAGAAAACCGTGCGCACCGTGTCGGCCAGACCCGTGAAGTCGAGGTTGTACGCCTTGTGACAAGAGGGACAATCGAAGAACAGATCCATGCACTGGGGCAGACGAAGCTAGCTCTGGACCAGAGAGTGGCAGGGGAAGATGAAGGCGCACAGTTCGGCGGAAAACGGGACGATGAAAACCTCCAGGCCGTGGAGGATCTGGTCATGTCGACCCTTGAATTAGAGAAAGCACCAGAGGATAGCTCTTGAATGTCATCCCCATGCACTGCACCGTTATCTTCATGCACCATCTCACAATCAGTCACCTCTTTTCTTACTTGTCACTTTCCCCCCGTTTGCTCCACAGCATACAACACACACACAGAGCATACATCATATCAGCCCCATCTAGAATGAAGGCCATCGCCTTCGCTTTCTTTTCCCACGAATTGACAAAAGTGTTCATGTGAGACGGCTGGTGATACCCCTGGCTAATATCGGTTCTTCTCATCCCCTCCGTATGTCTGGGGCGAACTTCTGCCTGGTGTGCTGCCTGATAGCCAATCAGCAATTTCTCTGCGGCATCCGGTCTCTCTCTCTTCCTTTAGAGTTAACTACCGTCCAGAATGCCACTTTAGCGGTGTTCCTGACCCTTCCTGAACCTTCTAGCTGAAGATTATCAGGGCCTAAAATACTATATGAAAATAGATAACTATATACGTCCGAGAGTCTAATCTCCATACTTAATTGAACATTGACCAAGCGGGTTGTCAGGCCGATATCAGAACCTTCTATAGATATTCTCGCAAATGCAGCCAAGCCATGTCTCGCCTCAATGGCGCCGGTCCAAATGCACGAAGAGTAGGTGTTGCGGCCAGAGAGACACCTCTTAGATGGCCGGTAGGACATACTTTTCAGCCGTGTCAATGATATAAGACCGGAATATTAGTTTATACAAGTAAGCATGGCTTCCTTCTTAGCTTCTTAGCTCGTCTGTTACCCCTGGCAGCAGATTCTTATATTGCGCTCTCTATACGGAGAATACATCTTCTTGTTACTAAATGCAGGGACGGGATGTTTTGGCGGAGATTCTCGGAAAAGCCGTTTTGGGTCATCTTGACGTCTTCTCAACTTCACACCAGCAACAACACCGCGACAACGACAGGGGAAGCCCATACGCATGCTACCGTTAATCGATCCCTGGCGATATGAGAATCCACTACTGGTTGATACTTACTGTATGCTTATGCACTCCACTTTTCGGGGTAGTTGTCGCCACTGCTGCTGCTGTTCAACCCTAGCCTGTCTGTGGCTGGTACAATTTATCTTCTCGCCCACATGCTTTGCTGCGCTGGGATCTGCAAGGTTTTAATCCTTTCGCCCGTAAAGAAAAGACGTGGGTACAACTGCACGATCTTCCGACTGAAACCTTTTTCGTGTGATCATGCCCCCTCTATA